AAAGTTGTATTGTGTAGTAATAAACATAATCTATTGCAAGATTTTTTTTTTCTAAAAACAACTTTGAGTGATTTACTTGCAACACAAATCTATATGAAAGTAAGGAAATGTTTTTCTTTCATTGGGGTATGCTGCCATCGAGAATGGGTGGTTTGCCCTAGCCAGGTTGGCTCAGTGGATAGAGCATCTTCCTGCGGTCCGGGTTAGATTCCGGTCAAGGGCAGTACCTCGGTTGCTGCCCTTCCGGGCACGTGCAGGAGGCAATCAATCGATGTGTTTCTTTCACATCCATATTTTTCTCTGTATTCCCCTCTCTCTTCCACTCTCTAAAAATCCATGGGAAAAATCCTAAGGTGAGGATTAAAAACAAAAGAATGAGTGGTTTATTTATTTCCCCATCTAGCATGTTGTTTCCCCCTCCCTCATTGAATGCTTGTGTGTAGAGTGCCTGCATTGCACATGGCACTGTTAAGTACTATGCAGTATGAGTTTAGAATCATTTATTCAACATACAATGCCCACTGACTATGTGCATGGCATGGTGCCAGTAATGGAGAAGCCTACAACAAAATACTTAAAATTTTTAGTCAAACAAGAGGCCAGCATTCAGAAAAGGGCCCGAAGAGGCACTAGTTCTCTACCTGTTATCTTCTCTAACATCTGTGTGATAGGACATCTTCACAGCAGTAACAGTGAAATGAGTGTTCAGCATTGGAAGAGCAGCAGGGAATAAGTGAGTTCTAGGGACCATGAGCAGCTTAGTTTGTCAGGAACCTTGGAAGTTGGGTAGCTACATAGGAAAGAATGACCTGCTGGGCTCTTATTACAGTTGTTCAGCTTCTTGGTAGGATTTCTCAATATTGATGGCCTGGTGTGATGAGGGGTATTGCCTTCTGATGATCACCTATCATAACATCAGTCTTGATGTCACATGGATAATAGTGAAGCCCTTTTCCAAAGTAAAGATGTAAGTGAGCCTAGCTAGAAAATTTTCATTTGGAGAATGTAATGTAATGGTATTTCTGGATATGATTTTCCTTAATGGCACGAAAATTAGTTTTCTCTAAGACGTATTCAAAATATATTAGCCATTACTCTGAACCCAGTTTTGCACTGCATTTTAAAAGGTCACCTCCTTCAGTAAAGAAGTAATATTAGGAGCAACGTTTTCTTAAGAACACACCACTAGGTCTGGTTGCATTTTATTGAGAATGAGATCCATGTTTGATATCTAGAGGGTGCCTGATAATTTAGGGGTAAATTTTGAAGTAGTTACAAATGAAATGCTATGATGTCTGGAGTTTGTTTCAGAATAATGGTGGAGAGCGTGGGGGAAGGGAAGTGGTTATTTAGAGATGAAACAAGGTTGGCCATGCCTTGGCAATTTTTGAAGCTCGTGATGGGTATGTGGGTGTTCAAGCTACAATTTTTTCTACTTTTATATCTGTTGGAGGCCTTTTTCAAAGTTCTAGCTAAGGGAATCGACTCATTTTGACCTGTCACTGATTTAATATTTTCACTTATGTTAGCTCTTTGGGTTAGAACTTGGTACCAAATAAGAGATAGTTTTTTGGCTCCCACAAAAGTTGTGGATCAACTGCTTGGGGTTTGTGAATGCATTTGAATTAGAATGAAATCATCTGATATCAGATAACATTGCACTTTACAGTAAAAAACAACAATAACATGAGAAAAAAGGTCCAATTTTATAGTTTTTATTTAAAGGGGGAGAGGAGAAGCCATACAAAAAAAAGTTTAGTTTTAAATGCATTTAGAAGAATGCTAAAAATAGTGTAAAAATTACAGTGACTTAAGTTTTTTTTTCTTCTTGCCCGGCTGGTGTAGCTCAGTGGTTGAAGGTCCACCGTGAATCAAGAAGTTGCTGGTTCAATTCCTGGCATATGCCTGGGTTGCAGGCTCGATCACCAGTAGGGGTATACAGGATGCAGCTGATTGATGTTTCTGTCTCTCAATCCTTCTTTTCTCCTCCTCTCTCTCAATCAACAAAAACATATTTAAAAACATTTAAAAAAATCTTTCTACTCAACTCATGTTTGAATAGTTAAAAATGAATCAATCTCTTTAATGTTTGCAGATCACCAGTGTTTAAATGAAGAAAAATGGGCACTAGATCCGGTGTAGATTGGCTTTCCCCCCACTAACTTTGCCAAAGAAAAACTAGCATGTGGCTTGTACCATATACTTACCACATAGTATTCATACTTTGGGTTAAAAAACACACTAACACAACACCTTCTAAAAAGTTGCTTGTAAAATGTATGTGCACTTTTCGACCTTATTCAAAGTTTAGAGATAAGCTTTTCAGAAAACTCAATCTCTGTTGCCCTTTTAAGTCCTTTCCCCAAACCCCCAATAGGCACACCAACCTTTCTGGCTGTGTGCTACCCAAACAGGAGAGCATTCTTTACTGAAAATCTGATTTTGAGGTGTGCAGACTGCCTGTTTGTAAAAACAGATAACGAAATAGTACAAATGTCAAGCATCCTGCCTCATTTAACCCTTTAAATGATTAAATTTCAAGGAAGTTTTTTTTAAATAATTGAGTTTTTAAAAATAATTTCACATGAACTACATCATCTGATAAATGCATTTTAAAAGTCTATTTTAAATCAGATATTCAAGCTTTAGTTAATCTTTTCAGACATTCCTGGGTACAAGGAATTCATTTGTAACTAAGCTTACTGTGATTTTTAAAAATTAATTTCTGTGGTTCTCTGTTGAGTTTAAGTTCCATGAAGGTAAAAGGACTGTCTGTTTTGCTTACTATCTTATTCCCAGTATCTGGCATGTTTAATTTACTGAAAAAGCTTTCCAAATGATTTGCAACACTAGAACTATATCCATTTCTAATTTGTAATATGAGCATTATCTAATTAGTGACTGAAATAGACTAAAAAGTATCATTTTTTTAGTTATTCAAATTTTCTATTTAGACTGCTTTGTAAGAGATAGGTGGAGTAGGAGGTACATTCTGAAACAGTGGTTCAAAACTGCACGTTGAAACGCTGTGGAGAGATTCAGGTGGCCCCTACCCTCAGGGATGTTGATTTCAAATTAGAAGGGCGATCTGGGCATAGAATAAGAGAGGGGACAAACTCTCTGCATTATGATTTCTGCAAATGATTTCTTTGAAACTCTCTGCAAATGAATAAAATTTACATCAAATCATTAACCATTATTAAGTGCTGCAGCATTTTGGTACTAATTAGTGTTATTTGTGAAATCATTTTAAAATAGGTGTCCAGGGAAATTTGAAGTCACTTTAATAGCAGACAATCTATATTTATATATTTGACATTGAAAAGCATTAGTTGTCCAGCTTTAATGTATATCAGAATCAGTGGGATCCAGTTAGAATGCAGATTTCCAGGTAATGAGTGGAGGCTGGAGGGTGGGTGTGGGGGAGGCTGTGATTCTGCATTCCTAACAAGTTCCCCCTGAGCCCATGATGCAGCAGGTGTTCGCGCTATACTTTTAGTTGTGAGATGTGAAGGGACTGCTATTTCTGTTAGATGATACTTCGCTTGTTGGCAGGATTTGAGTTGAACCAATTTTAGGGTTACCGCCATTTCCCCGCTGACACCATATTGTTCCTTTAGCTCAGCAGTTTTCTGGTGGTGAGCCTACGGAGGCCCTTGCATGATTCTTCTTTCCTAAGGCCTGAACTCAATGACCCTTCATATCAGTTGCCCAGGCTTCCCTGGTTTTGTGGGAAACTTATTGGCCTAAGTGAGCTTTTCAAAAACAAAATAAAACATGTGATTGAAAGCTTTCTTTATATAAAAACTCACATATTCTCATTTGTATTAATTATTTTGAAGAAAATATGAAAGTAAATATGGATTGCAAATAATTTTGTTTTATAAGTGATACATTTCCCATTATTATAGGTAATCCTCATATTTTGTAAGACTGGAATAGTAAAATTTATATTAGTGGGTGCACACTTGTTGAAAGGCTATCATTTCATCTTGAGAATTTCAGATGTAGATAGGGTACTTTTCAGTTTATAGCTGATGGTTCTTTAATAAATTCGAACATCTTTCTGATTACTTAAAAAATAATTAAACCTGGGAAATAGAGACTTGGTATTATTGGCCAAGTTGATTACTATAAACTAAGGCAATTTTTCATGTTTTTCATATAATCTGTACCTACTGATAAGTAAATGCACAAGAAGTACCTTGAGTTTTTTAAATAAAAGGACAACAAATTAAACTATTATTATTAAAACAATTGACAGCTAATTATCTTTACCCTTTACTTAGCAGTTGAAACCATTACAAAGGTTTGTCAGAGACCTGGAAGGAGTGGGCAGAGAATTTTAAGAAAAGAGCAATACTTAAATGCTTTTGCTGGTACCGATTTAATCAGACCACCAGCTAGTAACTTGATGGTGATATATTGGGTGGGACAACCCCTTACATTACAAGAACTTTAGCATCCCCTCAGGGCATATCCACACAGCCTGCTCAACCCCATGCAGCCATCCTCATCCCAAGTGGCACCAGCGCTCACCCACACACATTCCCGGGCACCCTTGACAGCCCCACCACTCCAGATTGAGAAGCAGTGATACGGGATTCAACAAGAAGGAAAATTATGTTCCAGCTTTAGGTTTTCTTTGGGCCTAGGAAATGGATTGCTCTCGCCCTTATTTAGGTTATTAAAATACACATTATTTTAAGAAATAGGCCAGACAAACATGGTGGTTAAGATAGTTGTTAATTTCATTTGACCTATGTAGACTTGGTTCTTTCAATATCTAAGTGAGCTCCATAATCCAGTCTAGCATGAGGCATGTGACTTGACAAAAAGCTTTCTCTACCTGCCCTGACCCCATGCAAAATGATTTTGACAAGTTCCCTATGAATCACGTGTTGAGGATGACAGCTACTCATAAGAATGAATTGGAAGTCAATGTTTTACTTGAAACTTATGTAATTTTATTAACCAATGTCACCCTGCTAAATTCAATAAAAATAATTAAAAAATCAATCTTTTTGCCAATTTGAAGGTAGCTGTATTAACTATCAATTATTGGGGACATGAAGACTCTTGAAAAAATGATTTTTTTTTTTGTTCTTAAGTCAGACTTTATTAAATAGCAGAATGGTTAGTGTTAAGCACTCTCATGTGCTTACTCTTTTGTTTTTGTTTCTCAGATGGATCCCAATAGAATGTCAGAAGACGACACTCACTGCATTAATAGAATTTTCAAACTCCATGAAAACACAGATTTGCAAGATACAAGTCTGGAGAGTCAAGACACAAAATTAATACCTGATTCGTGTAAGAGAATTAAACAGGCCTTTCAAGCCGCTGTGGGAAAGGTGAGTCCACATTGAAGGTTATAAGTCAAGGGCCCTCGTTGATTCTATTAATAATGAAATTAAAATTGGCTAAGTGCTATTGACTTTATTCTTTTTTATTTTGAGAATTTGTAGAAGAACTAAAGAGAATTGTCTTAAGGGATTAGCAGAATTGTTTTGAAGTTGTTGGTTGAATACGGTGACCAGAGACATTCATGTTCATGGAAATATTCCTTTTTTTCTTTCCTTTCTTTCTTCCTCTTTTTAAATTATTTATTTATTTATTTAGAGAAGAGATTTAAAATTACACTTGGAAGGAGGACAAAGATGGCTTGTGGTAGTCAATGGTTCAGTTTGCTAGTTTGAATTCCCTGCCCTAGAACATTTCCTCAGTTCAAAGGACTTTCTGCTAGCTATTTCCTTCATATTTGGTTTTGTAATAGTAGGATCTCCTATTCTACATCTGTTGACCAAGGGCTCTGATGAGAATAATTGTAACTGGTCCATTGTTGTCATCTACGGTGAGGAGGCAGGCAAGAAGACCAGGAAATGATGTGATAGGTGAGAAGTTCTGTGTCAGTTTTCTCATTTTCTGGGAGAGCTGGGTGAGAAGATAAGAAATGGGGACAGAGAAGACCAGTGACTTCTATTACGTTGACAGCTCCAAATGCAAATCACTTGTAATAACTGCTTGTTTTACTTTCCTGGATAAGGTCACTTGAGAATTCATCAGCCTTGGGATTATTTTACTTACCGACTTTACCCAAAACTGAGTAGAACCCAGTGACCCCAGTGCATGCACACCTGCATGGATTCTTGCATCTAACATTTTATCCCAACCTCTAGTTTCATCCACCATTATATTCCAACTCCTGGTTGCAACTTCCTGGGCTATCTTTAATCATCTTAGAGAAAATCCTCAAGTTCTTAAGTTTCTTAAATCTAAATTGAATTTGAATTCAGTTTATTTTTTTAAAAATTCACTTATATCAATAGTAAGTTTTAAAAAAGGGATTTATGTTAGAAGCAGAGGTAGGGAGATGAAGCTATTTGTATAATCCTTAAAGTTGATATTTGCTATATTTTACCAAGTCTAAGATACCACCAATTTTCAACTGACTTTATTATTTTATGGATCACAAAGAAAGAAAAAAGTTGACTAAGAAATGAAACATAATATTCATAGAGTCTAGTTCAGCCGTGGGCTGGATCCGGCCCATTTGAAAAGAATAAAACTAAAAAAAAAAAAAAAAAGACCGTACCCTTTTATGTAATGATGTTTACTTTGAATTTATATTAGTTCACACAAACACTCCATCCATGCTTTTGTTCTGGCCCTCTGGTCCAGTTTAAGAACCCATTGTGGCCCTCGAGTCAAAAAGTTTGCCCACCCCTGGTCTAGTTACATCTTAATTTAAAATTACATATAAAATGTAAAAAAGGGGCATCATAGAATCAATAAAGTGCAGATTGCTTTTATAGTTATGAGAACATATTACTTATAAGTATTAATTTTCATTATAATTAATGTGTAGGTGCTTAGATTTATGCAGTAGATGCATATTTTAAAATGTGGGTTTAAATTCAATCTTATTTACTTATAATTTTTGAGGTATAGCAACAGCAATTTTGCTAGTCTATTCATTTTTGTTGTTTTGTTTCATTTTCACTAGTCTGCTTTTTATTCTGTTTCCCAAATACTTAATATTCTACCCACAACAATTATTTACATGTACTAGAAGTAATCCGTTAGTTCAAAATTGAACCCCTAATTAAGGTAATTCAGGCTAGGTAAACGATTGTTTTCTAATTTTTTGTTAGGTTGACCCAGATTGTACATCCTTACAATGAAGGGAAACTTTTACTTTCATTGGCTCAGTCTTAAAAGTTATCCATTGTATTTCTTCTGGAAAAATAAGTATGTAATATTAGCCCAGATGACTTTGAAAATAAATGATGTTAAGAAGAACAGATACTATTAGTATTCATCTGAGAATGCAAGAATGGTTCATCTTAACAGGTCAAAGGAGAAAAACATTATCATCTCATAAACACTAAGAAGTGATGATAAAATTTTTTCTTTTATTTCTGATATTTAAAATTTATTAGAAAATAAAACTAGATAGTTTAGTTGATGTTATCTGAAATTGCTCAAATTAACAGTTAGCTAATGGTGAAAAACAGAGGCATTTCTCTTAACACAAGGAAGATGCTCAGTGTCCCCATGATTTTTACCACTCAGAATGTGCTAGCTATGTAATTACAAAAAAAGAGAATGAAATAAGAAAATATGTAGGGATGTGGAGAAGGCAGAATTTGTGTTGTCATGTGATTGTATTCTAAGGAAGATTCAAAAGAAACGGAAAGGCTACAAGCAAAATAAAATGGTTGATAAAAATTAATAAATAATCACCACTAGCTGCCCCCATCTCAAACAATAGTTAGAAAATATAAATGAAAGAGTCCATTCATAACTGTTAAAAATCCCTAAAAATAAAACTAATAAGGAATGTACAAAGCTTATAGAAATAAAACTAGGTAACTCTACAGAAGCTTTTAAAATTGGATTGGTTAATGTAAAGATGTATTATGTAAAGTTATAATCGATGAAAAGACACCACGAACTTTAAAATGGAACTTATTGTATGTGTGTACATAACTTTATCTATATATATAAAAGCCTAAGCAACCGTTATGACCGGATGACTGGCCAGTAGGTATGATGAGCACTGACCACCAGGGGGCAGATTCTCGATTAAGGAGCTGCCTCATGGTGGTTAGTGTGCTCCCACAGCCAACATCCTGCAGCTGGTCAACCTCCCATGGTCCCTCCCCCTGCCCGGCCAGCCCCTAACAGCCCTGGTTGCCAGCCAGGCCAAGGGAACCCACCTATGCATGAATTCGTGCACTGGACCTCTAGTATAATATAAATTTATTTTAAATAAGTGGATATAGCTTGAATTATTAAAAAATGGTGCTGGGTCCAACCAGTGTGGCTCAGTGGTTGAGCATTGACGTAGGAACCGGGAGGTCACAGTTTGGTTCCTGGTCAGGGCACATGCCTGGGTTGCAGACTCAATCCCTAGTAGAGAGCATGCAGGAGGCAGCTGATCCATGATTCTCTCTCATATTGATGTTTCTATGTCTCTCTCCATCTCTGAAATCAATACAAAATATATTTTTTAAAAATGGTATTGGGACAGTTTATAAATTTTAATAAATTTGCAATGTACTTAATACATTTAATATTTAATCCCCTTTTATTAAAAAGCAATACCCTTATGTCATGTCCTATGAGAAAACAAATCTCAGAAATGGAGAGAGTGACCAACGCTGTCCCCTGGCAGTTCTGCAAGACCTTCTGGTGCTTCAGTGATCTTTTCTGCCCTTGCCTGTCCCATCAAAAATCACCTGTTCATTGTCTCACTTCCTTTGATATTTCTAAGTGACTGCCAAGATAGAATGATAAACCAATTTATATTTAAATATATTGATGAGCAACAATGGCAGAATATTTACTATTTTAGCAGTCTTTTGGAGACATGTTGCCTCCGCTCTTTAGGAAGGAGACGAGTGTTATCCATACCTTATCATTAGAACCAACCAATGTTTACTAAGTGCACACACTGTGCTAGGCACTTAGCCATAACTTCTCCTCTGCCTAATGGTTTACACTTCTTACCCTTGCCAAGTAATGATTTTCCAAATGTGTTATCCTTTGATAAGGATTATTGGTTAATGTGACATTCTACAAATCTTGCCAAAACAATCAGATTTCTCATTTCTCTTGCCAATGTTGAAAATAGGATAGATGTATCAGGCATATATAAGTAGATTTATATCTTAGTTTTAGTTCCGATATAGATATTGAGTGAACCCATGAAACAAAATTACATGTGTGGCTGCAATAATTATTGAGAGATCAACCCATCCAGTGGAAACAAATGCTAGACATAAGCACAATATCACATTGTATGTGTGGAAAAAGTGGTGTTTACCCAGCCTCTCTTTGGTCAGACCAGTAATGCTGTTTTCCCCCCTTTTTTTGATTGTGGCTGGGTTTTCTTGGCTGTTTTCCCCCTTTAGCACAGAACTCTGAAGCCTCTTAGTGATCCAGCCCTACCAACCACAGTTTTCAAAGTCTATCATAACAGTCTGTGACAATAAAGAAAACATTAGTACAAATACGGTGTACGATTTATAGAGCAATTCCTGTTTCAGCTTTGGCAGCCTCCATGGCCTCTGCCAGCCTGAGGAGCAGAGCGGAGAGCTCAGGCCTAGGCACAGGCCTGCCCCACGCAGGCAGGGAGGCGCTGGGCCCTCACACCTCTGGCCAGGCTTAGGGGAAAGCCATGGGTTCATGCACTAAATATCCATCCTGAGCACCTGGGCTGTGACGGCCTGACTTCAGTACGCCAGATTGTTGATTTCACATTGGATACCTATTTGCGAAGAACTTCCTGAAATTTACTTGCAAAGGTAGTTGAAAGAACGATGTGCAAGAGAGAGAGATCAATACAATAATTGCACACTTTGCTCTCCAAAGTGAGTTGTTCAGTGTATTCAAGATGATCCCCCAGGACATGGGAAGGAAGCATGGGGATTTACATGTACATGTATTTTTTTAGTATTAGATTTTTTAAAAAGCTATGTGTTTGAGACCATTTTATAATGTACCAAATATACAGGGGTGGGCAAGGTAGGTTTACAGTTATTCCCATGGAAAAATAATAAATAAATAAATAAATAAATAAATAAATAAAATACAAGAATAAACTGTGTTTCACATAGTCACAGCTGTAAGTCTGCTTTGGCCAACCCCTGTACAGGAATTGTTTTTTTTTAAACTTAATATTTAAGAAATATGCACATTTGGGATTGATTATTAATGATTTTTCTGAAAGAGCTGCACAATCAGAAATATTTAGAAATCGTGGAATGAAGCTACAGGCTCCATCAGGATGAGAACGACAGCTATTTTGCTCATATTGTATGAGTATATCACACCTTATTTAGTCTCA